TTAGTTCAATCTTTGTCGCACCCCGACCCTAGTTATATTCTTAGAGTTTGAATTGAAAATTACTAAATTTATAAGTTTATATCAGTTGGGTGGTGCTATTTACCTACTGAAAATGGTATTTGGCTTTATGTAATTATTCCTTATATTAATCCAATGTTGCACCTTACACCCTGACATGTGTAGTGACATATCGTAAATATAGTTATACACTGTTATCAAAAGGTTACCCTGTCCACTAATTGACATGAATCTATCGTCACTCTCACAACTATATAGTATCTCACTAAATTGATAGGACAATAAAAGTGAAGTATAATCGGGCGTATATGAAAGGGGCCTTAAAAGATTGATAATGTATATATATTTAGTATTGCATGATTATTGGCAACTTTTCTTTTGTATTGCTCTTTCTTTCCTTTATCTACCACAATTGTTCATGAAGGAAGAATAACAATCGCCAGCTAAAAAGGATAGTGAAAAGTGATGAGGGCCAATGCGACTATGTAGGAGGATGGGAAAAGATCTAGATAAGTGTGAAAGTGATTGAAATCTTTGTAAGATTATCTATTTTTGGACACGTAAATAGGCGCAGTCATTAAAGCACCAAAATGCTACTCTCTTTAAGTTCCATATACCTCCCCACTCTCAATTATCATGGAATTCTTATATCATTCATTCATATCTTATAGATCGTCAGTTAAATAATTACTATATATATAATCAATTTCGGCAATGTTATTCCCCATGCATAAACAAATTGTTATACTCTAGATCTTAATTTTGACAACTTTCATTTGTAATGAGCCTCTAATATATAAGTAAACTTCACCTAAAAGTTTTAGTAGCTCAATATAATCCCTCACATAGTCACATCACTCGTATTAATTCGTATAAGGGTTTCCTAAGAAAAAAAAACACATATCTCAATATAGTAAACATGTTAAAATATAATTTCACATGTTTGAATAAAATATTATTTTCTCGACCCCTTCAACCTAAAAATAAAAATATAAAAAACATGATAGAATATTTTAAAAAATAAATAAATAAATAGCACCTAAAAATGATTTTTTAAAACTTGTAACAAATTAAATTCTTCGTACATCAACAAATTATAATAAGCGCACGGCTGAAAAGAGTTGAATAACAAAACAGTTAATTTTAATTAATAGGTGTTATAGTTTACTAAAATGAAATATGTAACTAAACATTTATTTGATTGAAAATACATTTTTATTAATTTTAAATTTAATAAAAAAATTAAAATAAATAAGTAAATAAATAAAAGGTATTGCACTTTCTTTAAGAACATGGGCAGGTCCAAGGATGAAAGGGTCGGCTCCAAAATTAATTAGTTTACAAAAAACTATATATGCATATACTACCATTTTAAGCATATACCCTTTTTAAGAAATACCGAAATGAGTCCTCAAATATACTTATATAGTTCCGGTATAATTAGTCGATAAATATGTTATTTGAACATATCAAAGAGAGTGGTTATATTTATTTAAATGATCTATCCATGTCGAAAAAAATTAATTTCCGATGGTTGGTTAAATATATTCTTAGTGCATGATAAAAAGAGAGAGTATATTATATTGAGATTCATTCACTTTTAGCCCCTCTCCATTAAGCCTTGAAGTTACAATACTTAGGAACCTTATTAGTTCTTATATATATGTATTATAAGAAGTTAACAATTCATGTTAATGATGTATGTGCATAAACCTATAGATTTTCATAAATTTAAACATGAAATTTATTAACGAAATTTATTCCAGAGATTTTCAAGCAGTATATCTCCTATAATATTTACATGTAATTAACTTTTATAACTAAATCCATAATCTTCCACTATAGCCCCCGTACCCGTAGTTCATAAGAAGCAAGGAGAAACGCCAAGAAACATAGTTAATATCACAATAAAATGGATGAATCGCATCTGATAACAATTTAATTAGGTTCAAGTTCAGATGCGTGCTTTTTGAATTTTTTGTCACAAACAAGGAAAGAACCACTCTTTTGCACATTGAATTCGCTGCAGAAAGGGCTGAGATAAGTAGATAAACACGATCAATGAAAGATATAACTATTTTTAAATCCATATAGGGATTAGAACGATAACGGTAGTATTTGAATCTAAAACTTTGTTCATACTCCTTTATTATCTTATTTCACTGTTAGACTGACTTTAATTATTTCAGATATATTTAATATTAATATAATATAAAGTAATTTTTGGAACACAATAATTAACTAGGAAAGCAAGCAGCACACCAACAAGAAGCAATGGTACTCCTTTTTGTTTGGTTGAAAATGAAGCATGAATTTGAGGGAAAGATAGGGCAAGAAGAAGTGGAGAGATTGGATGAGAATGAGCATAGAATGTTTTTTTGAGTTTGGAGTGAAAAGGAACTGAATGGAGATGATCTAGAGAAAAGACTCCAAAAAAAAACAAACAACATTTGTTGGAATTGGGTGGGACCCACATCCCCACCATTTAGTACTCATGGGCACATTGTAAATGCAAACTCCAAAAGTATCCATCCAAAGGTGTGTAGAGGAGGACAACATAATGCATGCAAAGAAAGGCACAACAAGACAGGTGGTACACTTGTTGTGGAGGATACAATCATGAGCCTAAGGGAACCTCCCACTACAATTTTTTTCGTTCACCCTTCAGTGGTGGGGCCCACCCCCATTTATGTACACGTGTGTGCTTCCCCATTGGCTGAATGAAGCACATATTGGCGCCACGTGTCTTTTCCATTAATAATGGGGGATCTGATGATTAGTGAGGAAAAGGAAGGTAGTTGGAAGGAACAAAGAGTTAGGGTTAAAGCTAAGTGTGTATGTATGTAAAGGCTATATAAAGCCGGAAAAAGGAAGAAAAAGACAAAGGGTGGGGGGGAGAAAAATAAAGGATATCATATGATGAAAATGCTTAAGGTTTGTGGATGGATGAGTTATATATGCATTCTAATTACACTTTCGATTCGAACAAAGCTACCATCATAGTTAACACATTGGTTTTTATTTTATTTTAAGGGAAATATATATTGTGTTTGTTTATTTACACTTAAAGATTTAAGTATTGTGCATGTCTTGGCTATAAAAGATGACTATATTGAATAGAATCATTAACTTAATAAGAAATTTTTCATAATGGAATTACATAACGTTTTATATATGATGAAATAAGCCAATTTTTTTTGTCCTTTTATATATGTAAATAAATACTCGTTTTTGTAAAATATTGGAGTGGTCTACCTTGGAATGATTTATAATATTGCAAGGACTATATATATATATATA